ATTAGTTCCCTTCTATTTGATGGGCGCCTCATTCGGACAAGAGTTTTCAAACGGTGCCACAAATTTTGGATAAGATTGAGGTCAGGACTGTTTCCTGGCCATGACAACAATTTAATGCTCTTTGTACGAAACCACTCTTTCGATATTTTGGCCGTGTGGCAAGGAGCAGAATCCTGCTGAAAAATAAACGAAGCATTGTTGGGAAAGAGATCTCTGATGGAAGGTAGAAGTTTTGGTTCTAGAATAGTGTCAATGTATTTTCTGGCATTCAGTGTCCCACCGATGACATGAAGGCGACCAATACCATCTGCTGACATGCATGACCAAATCATAACGCTAACTGGGTTCTTCACAGTTGCTTAAATGCAGTCAGGATGTAGCTCTTCTCCTGTTCTACGTCTTACATATTTTCATCCATCACTACCGAATTACGATATCTTAGTTTCATCACTCCATATAACTTGTGACCACTGATCATCTGTCCAATTAATGTATTCCTTTGCCCACTGTAGTTTTTTTTTTTTTTTTTTTTCGTCGCTGAAAATTAAGATAAGGCTTTTTTCGTGGAATTCTACATCTCATTCGAACATTTGTTAATCTTCTCCTGATTGTTCTTGAACTGACAGAAAACCAGCATCATTCAGATCACTTCTGATGGCCACTGATGACATTTTTCTATCTTGGAGAAATAGTCTTTTTATTCTTCTGTCATCAATAGATGTGGTGCACCTTTTTCGGCCTTTTCGTTCTTTGTTTTTTATTGAATTTGTCTCCTGATATCGTAAACAAAACTTTCGGACTCCAGATGTAGTCATTTAACCACCCACCTGTCTTGCAATTTCAGCATAGGAAAGACCACTTTCTCGTAACACAATAACATTACATCTCTTTCTAGGTGTCCAATCAATTCTTTTATTTGATGTCATTGCTTCTTGACTAAATATTAAAATTTTTTACCAAAATTCCTACTTGTAATTGCAGTGTATAAGAAACAGGTCCTCCTTCTACAGAACAAAGCAAAATAATGAATTGTTTCAAGTGTAAACATGATGTCAGCTTCTACTGGCAGTTACTAACATTTGATTGGTTTTCAGAACAATAACAGTGATTGGTCAGGAAAGCTAGACATTACAAACCACTTCAGAACTGTGTTTTTTTATTTATTTTAAAGTACATATAACTTTTTTGTATTGCAAATAATTGAATTTTGTGTTTTGTATTGAATTCAGTAATAAATTCTCTTTAAAATGATATATACAAGTTTGCATTTTGCGAAACGTAACATTTTCTATAAGCATACAAAGTTAAACATAAAAATTTCCAAAAGTGTCCACAATTTTGGCCACCACTGTAAATGAAAAGCAATGGTTTTAATGGATTTGGTTTTCGGAGAATGGTTCAATACCAGTTTTATATTAGCAAAACTGAAGTAAATATATTTCATGTTACCAACTGAAATAAATAAATTACCAATAAGCGTAATGCGTGATCAATTAGTGATAAGGTTGGAATTTCGCAAGTCAAATAATAATCTTTTCTATAGTAAGTGGTAAACGAATAAAATGAAAATGCTACGCATAGCTGCTTCGAACTGATTTATTGATTTTTAATTTATTTTTATTATATTCATTTAGCCATCTATCGAAGACAATTTCGAACACTTGCATTTTGTGATGAAAATATCTGCCTGTTACGTAAGAGATAAATTCCTTAGCTACCATGGGAATGCTGTTAAATATTTTGAATAATTTACTCGCAAAGATCAGTTATGATCCTTGATTGATTATTAGACGTAGTAAAATGCAAAAATTTCCTTTGCAATATAAACAAGATTGTAGCCTTTATGTTTTAAGAATTTCGAACGAATTCTGCTTCATCTTGAGGTTTTGTATATTCTTTTTCATACTGAAATTTGTTGGCACGTGTAATGGGAATATAAGCCAGTTTTCCTTAAAACATCCTGGAAAGGCATCACCCCTAATTCAGGTAGAAATCATGTGCTTTGATATAATAAAATGTCTAGTAATTTCATTTTGTAATATTCTTCATTCCAAATGTGATGCAGTATATTGATTGCAAGCCGGTACTTATGAATATTTCTTTTAAAACAAAGCTCGACAACGGGGATGTTTTTTTATTTCCTTTTCTCGAAATTGTGATTTTTAATAAAAGTGTACAGGGCGGCCAAAATAAAACTAGCCCGGAAAAGTGTTTTCGAAATTTCGTAAAAAAGTACTCTAAATCGTAAAGAGACCATTAGAAATTGGAACAGACGTCGTTTATGATCAGTTTAATGCAAAACAAATTAGCGCTAACGGTAAAACAACGTGTGTTCATTGTTGAATGTTGTGAGAAACACAGTTCCTGAAAAACATGCACTGAACGTTTTCCACAAGTGTTTAAGAATGGAAGTGGAAAAACCTCCAGCAAAATATGTAACAGAAATCTTTGTGACAAAAATGGTAGAAAACTGGAACTGCAGCGAAGTGTAGTTCTTTTTATTAACAAGGAAAAATTTAGTGTAAGAATTATATGTATTTTCCAGACCAATTTTATTTTATCCACCCTGTATAACAAATGAGTACTATAGTACAGAATATACTAAAATGTGAAATAAGCAATGGTAAAGAGAATTAGAAGCTGTAAAACAGTATGATGACGAATAAAACAACGAATATCAAATAATATTATGATAGTTGCTAATTATGCAATACCATGCTGACAAAATAGAACATAAGTACGGTGACAACATTAATAATAATAAAACAGTATTGAATGTATAAATAATTTAGAAATTGAGTGAAAATAAATATTAAATGCAGAGGAAGAAAGCAGACCTGAACCCTGAACTTTAAAAGTAGTGAAAGATTTATTTCAGTTCTTCTTTACCGAATGGTCCCTGAAATTTGTCTGAAAGTACTTCATAGACTGACCATTCTCTGGAATGAAATCCGACTTGAAGTTGCTTGCTAAAAAATGTAAGAAAAGATATGTTTGATATAATAAAAATATTTCATAAATTAAAAAACTTAAAAGATTTTTTAAGTGTCTTTGCGTTTATTTTCTTAAACTATAAAATTTATTCATATAATTCCTGTAGATTAATCCGTTCATTTAATCCATAATAATTTTAACACGCCTGATATTTAATGAGCTCAATTTAATGTCATAAAATGTGATTATTTTCATGTTTTCCGCTATTAATATTTATAACTTTTGTGTTCATCATTTCTGTTCCCAACATGAAACATTTTATTTTAATTATAGGAAGTACATTCTCTTCCCCTCAGTTTAATTAAAGTCGTGAAAATTCAGTCATTTCTTTCCATGGAATTTAAAAGCGAGAACTCGTGAGAAAAATAAGAATTAATTTATTACCTTTATATTGATGTGTTTAGCTTGAATGTTAATGCACTATCAAATGAAGTTCTGCCAATTTACTTCATATAGATTTAATGTAATATTAATTTCTTTTCATCATGCTCCTGCAATTTAAATCATTTAGATATTGTGCAAATACTATTTTTTTTTAATCTTAATATACAAATCGCTACCATTTGCTGTAAAAGAATACGTTTCAAAATGCGATTTAACAAAATTTAATTGTATTCTTATTAGTTAAATGCACATTAATAAAGAGTATGCCATATTACAAATGGAGGAAATTTAAATTGAGTGCATTGTGCTTCTAAATCTTACGTATAATGCTTCTGATGAATTCTGAAGCTAAAGGCACCTTAATTATTATGTTTAATTTAAAATTTGGGTTAATCCTCTTAAACATCCATACAATTTCTTATTCTATCCTTAACGTGGAATCTAATAGCATAAAGTGGAAGCAATAGTCGTAAAACTGACTAAAACATTCTTTTATACTAAATCTTTAATAGAAACATAGCATTTGTTTCTTGCATCTTATAATATAACAGTATTTTATTTATTTTCGATATAAATATTAAATTAGGAGCTAAGAACCTGGCTTCTGTGATACCGTCCCATGCTAGTAGAATTGACTCAAAAGTCAGGAAAAATGTAACATAAAAAATAACATGTTGATTAAAATAAAATTTTCAAGCTATCTCGATCGTTCGCAATATTTTTATTTTGTGAAATTTTAATGTCTTTGAAGTAAAACTACTACTTGTTTCAAATATTTTAAATTCTGTAATTCTGTGCCTAAAATTGCTCTAGGTGTATAAAATAGAAGAAGAAACTTAGTGAGATTAACCACTGCAAAATACTGAATAATAGGAAACGCGTAATTTATTTTGGAATAAAGAGTAATTATTTCATTTTATGATTTCACATTTCTATTTAAGTTATTTTAAGCATTTAAATGTAATATGTCATCTAAAACTTGATAAATTAGTTGATTGTATTATTGCATTAATATGAGGTTTCTTGCAATTTAATTTATAAAAAGAATGCAAAATATTTTGGTTGCATTTTTCATAATCAGTTTACGAATTTCAGATTATTATTATCTTATGAATGACGTCAAAAGAAATCTGTATTACTTTTAAGAAATCTGCTATAATGTAGCGAATCTAAGGCATCTGTTTGAAAAGACATATACAAAGTAAAAATATATGATTATCATCAATGAAGTGGATTCACACAAGATGATGTCTGCAATAAAGTCGCATTTGCTTCTCGAGTTTTAATGCCCAAAAATATCTACATTTTAGTTCCCGCACACACTATTATTGTACTATGAATGCTAACCGTTTCTTTTTCAAAAATCTAAACTCTTACAATATATTTTTTAAAACTTTTACAGCTTATATATAATTAATTTAATAAGTAATATTGCTTGAATTTTCTGCGTAAAAATTTTAGTTAAACTAACATTAAAAATTTTAAATCTTTGTTTTATTTTAGGTTAATACAAAATATTACTTTTGCAGTTTTCACAGCAATAATAAAGCAAAATTTTAATACAGCTTCGCTTATTTAAAATAAATCTCATTAAGTCAATATTTCATTTTTCTCTTTTTCAGAGGGGCATTCCAAACAGTTACAGATGTTTACTGACCTCACCATTCAAGCAGCTGGCATTGGCGACAAGGTAACTTTTATTATCATTATTATTATTGATTAAAGAACAAAAGTATCATAAACTCTGTATTTTCTTAGCAGTTTTTTAAAGATCTGTATCTTTAATTTATTTGAAAAATTTACTTTTGAAAAGTTATTTGTTTTAATTGAAAGACGTAATGAAGAATACGCATAAGTGGCAATTTCTGAAAAGAAAGATACATAGATAATTTGGTTGTAAATACAACTCAGTTATATAAACAAAATAAATAAATAAATAAATAAATAAAGCTTTCACAGTAAATTAGTTTTATAAAGTTGAAGGTTGGACACAATTTTATTATTAGTGGAAGAAATCATATGGTAAAGTGGATTTAAAAAGAAGACATTTCGCAAATCCTCTCTTTAATTACTTCATTTTATAGTTTTTATTTGTATGTTTCTATTATTATATCTAAAAAAAGTGTTTCACATTTTTTCTTTCAAGGAGCTTCCTCTCAAAAGAAAATATTTCTTTTTCACGATGTTAAATGTTCTGCATCAATGGATGTTACATGAATTAAACCCGCAGAGCATTTCGGCAGCATTAGTATATTATTTTTAGATCTCGGTTAATGCCTTTTAAAATCAAAGATTGTTTCAAAGCATTATTCTGAACTTGGTAAAATTGTTTTTTATGATTCTAATGCATATTCTCGAAGTTCATTATGCACCAGTTCTGAACTTGGTAAAATTGATTTTTATGATTCTAATGCATATTCTCGAAGTTCATTATGCACCAGTTTAGAACAAATAATGGAAATTCAGATGCATTTGAGAAGTATACAAAATGGACGTATAACATACACGAGCATTATATATATATTTTTATACTCATATTAAACATGCATTACCTTTTTTTAAAAGAATAATAATTAAGTAATATTCAACAATACATTTCACAAATAACAAAAATTAATTAAAAGTCAATAATATGTTTCATGGAGAACAATAATTAATTAAAATTCAATAATAGGTTAAACATACAACTAAGGCAAATTAATGAAAAAAACGTACTTTTAGATGCATGTAAGAAGCATCATTTTGTATACTAACGAAGTACATATAAAAACTAAACTACTATAGTAAAAAACACAAACAATACAAAAGTGAAAATACCACGAGATATATTATATAAAATGAGTGAGTAAAGTAAACCCACTGAGGGAAATAAATATGTTTACCATTTATATCAGAATAGGCATATCTGAGCATTTTATTTTAATGCGTTCCTTCCCTTTTTTTAAGTATTTACGAAGAAAAAACACTTCGTAGAATATAAATAAACACAGAGAGGATTAAAATAAATTAGGAAACAAAATTAACCTTACATGCTATAGGGCTCAAAGCAAACTCTATTAATTTCAAAGAAGACAAGCAATGAGGTCTTTTCTTCTTAATGGAGTAGAATGTTTTTTTAGACATGACTATCTTAGAATCAATAGAGTTTTCTATAAAATCAATGACAGGTTAAATTGGCTTTTGCTTAATTTTATTTTCAACATGGGTGCTTGTCTGTCCTATATTTGAAAGACGTCTATCAGAATTACGGCCTTAAATAATGTGTAACTTTTTTATAAGCTAATGGATTACATTTTGTATTTTGTTGCTTATTATTAAATAATTTAATTCGCAATAATTAGTGATGAATCTTATTGTTCGAATATATGTAAGACGTAGTTTTAATAAAAAGTTAAAAATATAAATATATCTTGTAACATTTCTCCAATATAAAACACTTCTATCATATAATATATTCATTCGTGTAATATCAGATGCAAAATGTGTGAAAAAATATGTAAGACTCTAGCTAAATTAAAGTTCCTTTTGTTGGCTAGATCTTTATTTGAACTGCGAAGCGACCATTCGCTATGTTCAGCTGTTGATACGAGAAAAGGGTGAAACAATACGAGGAGATGGTGAAAAGTCTCTTTTATAAAACTGAAAAAAAAAGCATTTACAGTCGGTACTCCTGGTGCTTACAAAATCTACTCCAATACTTTTGGCGTCAACTCAAAACAGAAATGTGAAATTAAAATAATCCTAAGTAAAATAAGCAGCCAAAGCTGCACAGAGATATTTAACGCGTAACTGGTTCTTGGCCCTACCACTGATGTACACTAACCGGCAATTAATATGCACGGCCGTAAAATAACAAGCTTAAATAGCAGAGAAACAATGTGGCCGAATGTAAAACACTCTGTGTCTGAAGTAACTAAGACACCAGCTTATATACTATATGACTACTCTACTTTGTCCAACACGCGAAATAGAGATCTCATTCTGGCAAGAAAGCATGGGTTGAAAACATGAGTAATAGGGAAGGTTGCTTCAAAGTAAAATTAAGTGTTGAGAAAAATAAATAAAACCCCACAAATATAACAAAGTGAAACGTGTAAATATTGATTTACTTTTGATATTGTATTTGAATAAATTTGACATATTTGATATTGCTTTTATAAATTATTTATAATTAAGTAATTCTGTTTTACCCCAATTTTCACTTTATGTATAGCTTGAAAATAAAGGTTAGCACCACGAAAGAGATGGTTGATCTTTTGCCATCTTATTTTGCTATGATATTAAAGATTTCTGATGCATATAAAAGTAGGAATTATTATTTGTATCTTCAAATATTAGCTTATTCAATAAAATAATTTCAAAACATAATGGATGGAAAAAAAACTTTTCATAGTCAGAAGAAGTCACAGGATTCAGAGTCATAGGAAGATATCTGCTCGATATGCTCAGCTAATTATCCAAAATGCAGTACGATGTAGGAAGCATTCAGTAAGAACGAAATTTTCAAAACGCTTAGAATAGTCCTGTCACACCCCCGAACGAAAAAACAAGCATACTGCGCGCATGGGAATGACTGGATGGCAAAGCAACATCATTACGGGATCTGAAAAAAATCATGAATCGGTACATATCATACGATGTCGCCTGTAGAACAAGGAAATTTTCGCATTGGCTGCATTGTAGCGACTACCATTAACTCTGCACTATGCGCATATGCCGTTTCGGGGTAACTTTGAATGTTACTCCTTCATATGCATGGCAGGTGTAATCAACAGTCACCGCCGCTATATCTGTGAAGTTCTGTAGCCTGTTGTTCTCCCTTAGCTTCAAGGCAACCAAGTTGCAATAGGACAGTTTGAGATTTAAGGCAGTACGTAGCTTTCATTAGTTGTTCACATTAGTCCACCACGTTGCACTGCTGCCTGGATCAAACTTTCTCTCGATTTGTAAGTCACTGGCCATGGCTGGTCGATGACTGGCAAATTAGTCGCTCAGCATACACTAATCCGCGACTATGTTAGATATATTTTGGCAACATGTGGAAACTAGTATATGGACTGATAAACCCAAAGCGCATCTTTAAAGCATCTTCTTTCAACACAGCGATGTGGTTAGGGAGTTATTGCCGGCCAAGGCGGCTACACAAAACAGTGATTTATCTGTGCTCTCCAAGTCTAACGGAGCTGTAATTTTAACCCTTGTAGCTTGTATGAGTTTGATATTACTTGTTCTTTATGGTGTTGTCTTATAAGGTATTTTCTCCTTCCTTTCTGCATGCCTTCGTGATGTAATTGGAAGCATACCCAACGAGTATTCGAGAGGTCCAAGGTTCGAGTCCTGGCGAGAGCATAGCCTGTTTTTCACTTCTTCTGCTTCATATATAACTGCTAATGATTCGACAGTAGCGTCCAAACTAGAAGGTGGTGGACAATAATTTGTTACCATCAAGATTTAGTCCTTGGGTCTCCTAATCCCCACTCGCTCTTAAAATGAGGAATATATATATATTACCATTTAAAATGGGAGAAATATTATATATTCTCCCTCCTTCCAGCATGCCTTCGTGGTGTAACGGTTGAAAACCCGGCGCGTATTCGTGAGGTCCAGCTTCCAGTCTTAGCTAGACCTGTAACCATCTTTCATCTCTCCTGCTTCAAAACCTGATGACTCTTACAATCTTTTAGATGGGCAGCAGTCTAGAACATTTATTTTTATCATTACTATCTAATCTATTTAAAGATTGCTGTAATATGGAACGTACTCCTTAAAGAACTATGTTTATAATTCTTACTGTATTAAATTAACAGTTTTATTTTTGTTAAGATAATTCTGTCTGAATTAGATGTCTGAATTTTAGTTATTAACATATGACTTCGAACGCTTAGCTAAGTCAGCAATGGTGTCCTCTTCTGAAACTTCTTGTTTCTCCACTGCAGCTAGAGTGTAGGCTTTGCTTAGGATGCAATAATTCTTAACACATTGCATTATTTTGACAACGTGCTGTGCTCAGTTAAATTGATTTAATTACCGACAGGACTCCTTTTTTATTTTGGTAACGTAAACTTAATATTACAAAAGTGGCATATTCTCGAGTTAAAGCTATTGAACTTTAATAATGTAGTTGTCTAAAATTTAATATTGCAAAGAAAACATCATTATTCTTCTCTATCACTGCTTAAAAATAAGATGCTTATCTCACCATTGTTGTGCTAAAGTTTTATCGTCTTAAAATTCGATCTTAGAATCTCTTTGGAAGAATTTTTCCTTGTCAGAGAAAAAAATAGTGAAGGAAAAACGATTTATTGAGTTCAGATCTATCCTATTTATTAGAATGAAATTCATTTCTAGAAAGGCATCTGAAAATGTTTACACTAAATACAATTTTCTGTGGCGAAACTTTATAACATAGGATAGTGCATGTATTGATGTTGTGTGAAAGAGTTGTAATATTAGTAGTAATAATTCTCTACACATATTTAATTCACGTTGTTAGTATGTTATGTGCGTTAATTAATGTTACGTAATGTACATATAGTTTTATTATGTAACCAGCAGAATTTACATATTAGCAGAAAATCCTCTGTGTACTAACAACATCTCTGCAGTAAATTGTTTAGCAGTGTAAATATAATTGAAATTTCCTAATTAATTTCTGATGGAGCATCTTTAGAGACCCTAGAGGAGGTATTG